ACTGTAGCTTAGAATATATGATTGAAATTGTCAGAGCAGTTGGTGATCTTGCCACACATTTCCCACTAATTTTAACAATATGAATTCTGAACCTACCACTCACTGACATCAGTGGAAGGGTTACCATTGCCTTAATAGATATGTGATCTCTCTCTCTCTCTCTCTCTCTCTAACCTTGGAGTAGGCAATAATTTCTGATAGGGGGCCATTCCAAGAATTTGGTAAGTAGTCAAGAGCTGCACTCCTCTATGATATTAAAGGAGAGTTGGGGATGCAGGTTGGGTACAGAAGGGAGCTTGGTATGTAACTGGGGTGCAGGAATGGGTAAGGTATCTGGGAGGGAGTTTGAATGGAGGGATGTGTGACCCGGGGCAGTGGTGCAGGAGGGAATCTAGGGGCATGGGTTGTGATGTGGAACAAGAAGGGTTTGTGACCTGGGGTAGGAACTGGGATGCAGGAGGGGGTGTAGAGTCTGTGGTGCCAGGTGCAGGCTCTTACACTAGGCCCTGCTGAGCCCCCAAACTCTGCTCAAAGTGGCTGGCTGCTGGGGCTAGTGTACACATCTTTGCATGGCGCACACTATGCCTGTGCACACAAACTACACCTAAGCAGTTCCCATTGGTGGGTTTCCAGCTAATGGAAGCTGTGGGGATTGTGGTAAGGGTGGGGGCAGTGTGCAAAGCCTTCCTTCATCCCATTAAATAGGATATGTGGTGCAGATGCACAAGCTAGCTCCAGAAGTCTGTCACTTTGAGTGGTGTCTGGATGTGGCAGCCAGCCTGAGGGTCCCATGAGGCCACGGGACATTGACAGCCTGAGGGTCCCACGGGGCCACGGGACATTGGCAGCCCAGAATATTACGGTGGGCCAGATCTGAAGGTTTGGATCTGGCCCAGCAGCCGTATTTTTGTCCTCTCCTGTTCTAACCAGTCAATAATAATGCCTGTCTATTAGACAAACTGGAAGTAGCAAGGGTTGCCACAATAAATAGAGATGGTCCTGAGCTTCAAAATCTTAATCTGCTTTGTAACATGCCCTAAACTTGATTACTCTTCTGAACCAAGGTTTTGCATCAAGCTAATCTTCAAGAAGATGAGAACAAGTTGTGGCATAATAAAGTGAGGATGTTTATAACAGTCTCCAATGTATCCATGAATACAAAATATAATAAGCATTATCTTTCACTTGAGGCATTTGTTAATGAATACAAAATATAAGCATTATCTTTCACTTGAGGCATTTGTTATAGGAGGATAAGTATGAAGAGAGCTGCAGCTTGCTGTCAAACAGGCAAGGAGTGAATGATTTATATTCTTATATTTTTGAGTTAAGCAGTATTGCCATATTTTTATTGAATTAAGGTGACTCCACTAAGCACAACATTAATCACGTGTATGTCTAGAGATGAAAATAAACCAAAAAAATCTTCTAGTGATTTCTTCAAGTGGACAACAAAAACATGAAGTTTTTCCCTTTGCAACTGATGTGCAGGCTTGCTAAGAAGGAGCTCAGAGTAAAATTAACACTGTCTACTTGCAAAAGCGGTGGTGGTTTTCAAAAGAGTCATGAAATTTTAGGAAGCCAACCTTGAAAATAGGTTCAAAGATGCAAAGCCAAAAGCAAGGGCATTGTGCATAATAACTGGACTGGGTTATTTAAAAAAAATTAAAATGCAGATGTCAATTTGGCTACATGCTTCAGAAAACCAGGTCTCTGACAAAAGCCATGAATTTCAGTAGGTGGAAAAAACCAGGCCTTTCAAAGATGTGAAATTGTTTCTATTTTCTGATGCTAAAAAAAGAAGATTCTGTTCTCTCAGTGGAAAAAACCCATTGACTTCATTGACTGGGCTGAACTAAAGGCTTCACTTCCATACAAAGGCAATCTTGCTTATTTATCATGGAGTAGCAGCTTACAAAGCATTAAATAGGAGTCATATGTAGGTTCAGATCTGGAATCTAATTCAGAAGTGGACATGAATGGCTGGCTAGCTGATAATAGGTTTCTAGAAGCCATAAACTCCTTGGTACAGGTATGAAAGCTAATTTTAATATATCAAAAAGGACTTTGCATTAATATTTAGAACTTTTGAGAAATGTCCCAATGTAGAACGGCTGTGTGACTGTCTAGATCTGAATAGAAATATGTTTTTCCAGGTTACTATTAGATTTCTTTTAAATGTAGACAGAAATAACCCTAATTTAGCAGCAGTGTGAACATACTTGCATGCTAGGCAAGTTTTGAACTTTTGTATTTCTAATTTATATTGTGATAGGGGAACCTTTCTAAGCATTAGTGCTCAAAAATAAAATGATGGGTGCTGGCTGTCAACCTTTGTTGTATCTTTACTTTCATTCACTTTGGCTTGTGATGGCTGCACCTACTTTAACATTGGATATCCACTCTGGGCCAGAGCATTATGTACTACTTGTTTGTTTGTTTTTTTTGTTCCTCCCCAATTCATGAAGAGCAAACATATACAGGCAGTCCCCAGGTTACGTACAAGATAGGGACTGCAGGTTTGTTCTTAAGTTGAATTTGTATGTAAGTCGGAACTGGTACATATTGTAGGGGAAACTCTAGCCAAACATTTCTCCAGAGCTCAGTTTTATTCTCCCACACCTCACTTCCCTCAGTCCTTTATTCTCAAGCTAAGGTGTCTGCTGAGAAGCCGCTCCACATCTCCCTGGTCTGCTGGGGGGGGAGGGGGGGCGGGCGCTAGCTTCGCGTCTCCCTGGTCTGCTGGGGGGAAGCAGCTAGTGCAGGGTTGCCTCACCCTGTTTGTAAGTAGGGATCCGATGTAAGTCAGATCCATGTAACCCGGGGACTGCCTGTACTTGCAGTCAGTGTGATGTTTTTATTTAACAGTGGGACAAGAAAGAACAGAAATGATGTCACTGAGGGTGTATAGAGTGGGTCTCTTCTGACAGTGTAAACTGAAATCTGAAAACAAAATGGTTTCGGATGTTTGTACAGAGTGCTTAGAAACATAAAAAAAATCCTGATTTCATAGCTACAGAAATGCAGGTATATCCGTTCCTCCAGAATTATAAAAGTACAGTTGGGCATGTGTCACTAGGATAGGAATTGCGCTATTACAAGCATTCATGACATAAGTTCACCATCACTGTACTAACTAAACCATCTTGTTCCCTTGCTACCTACCCAGGATAGCCGATCAAGAGAGTCTACTTTGTCATGGTTGAAGACTACAAAGTACCTAGAATATAAGAATAGGAGTAAAGCTAATAGATCATTTCTCTCCTGATGAATTGTTCGTTTTTAAAAATGAAAAATAATTTAATTCTAAATTTCCTTGTTCAAAAGTGAATTTTAATGAAGTATTAGGTTTGCTGATTCAGTAACTATGCAATAAAATGGGAATAATCTAAATTACTCTGCTTATTAGCATATACAGTGCAGCTAATTTTAAGTTTATGGAGATGAAAAACTTGATAAACTGAGATAAAAAGGGGATAAGAACTTTACAGAAGCTAGAAGGGCAGCAGAAAGAAACTGTTTTCTCATTGTGCAGTTTTTGAAGGTTGGCATTTGTTCTGATAAATTTTCATATAGCAGATACAAACCAAAAAGGTGGGGGACCAATGTAACTTCAATGGAACCTGATCGTATTATAAATTATTTTAACAAAGCACTTACAGGAATGGATTGATGGACTGTTGTTCCGTACTGGTTTTTTATCCTTATTTTCAATAGTGTAAATTTTGACAGTGATAAAGACACAAAGAAATAGGTAAAGTGGTGTCCTCAGGGCTATTTTAATGTGAAACCCTGGCTTTTGCAAAGCCAGTTCTGTTTCTAAATTAAAGTCCAGGTCTGAAATCCTGGCCCATTTGACTCAATAGTAACAGTTCCATTGACTGTAATAGGGCCTAGAAATCACTGTAGATGAAGTCACAAGTTTTCACTGGATTTTTAAAAGGGGGTTAATAAGGATTAAAGATGTATGTTTTATTCTGTCTTCCCAGAGAGCAGAACCTTATACTTGTGGCTGCTCTTGGTTTTTTTGCTGTAAGGGGTGCCAGACGGTTCTAGGTAGCACATACTTTCTTGCTTTGTCTACGGTTTGAGGTGTGTGTGTGTGTGTGTGTGTGTGTGTGTGTGTGTGTGTGTGCACGCGCGCCTAGCTGCTGGGGTCTTGCTTCAGGACTAGAATTCCTAATTACCATGGGAATATAAATAAATGAATTGGGGGCGGAGGGCGGGATTAACAGCTGACTGATGATGATGTCAACAGTTTGTTTGAGGGGTATCAACTCCACAAGAAGTAGCCTTCTCCATTTTATAGTGAGAACTCATCTATTCCCTGGTTTCTCTTAAAGGCAATTTTAACCTGTATGGCATGGACTTCAGCACAGTTGCTGCCTACTGTTTTAGGATACTCAGGGAAATATTTAAAAATCTATTTGGTTTTAAACATACGTTTAAGTCACATTAAAATAAATGAAATTTAAACATGTGCTTAAAGAAAAGCATGTGCTCAAGTGTTTTCCTGAATTGGAACCTGCCAGCAAGTGTGTTATTAATGCTAGATGATGGATATTCTGGTGTATCTTTATGTATAATATTGCAGCATTCAAAACAAACAACTTAATTTCTTTGACTCCTCAGTATTTTTAGGCAACACTAAAATAACTGGATTATTTTATTAACTATTTAAGAAAGAGGGGCATCTGTTTCTGTATTAGATGACTTCACTGATTAAATATATTTTGAGCTGTATTTTAATGTGAAGTTAAAGTGTAATGTGTCTAAGTGCTTAATTTAAAGTTAAAGTAAAGTGTAATGTGTCTAAGTGCTTAATAATTAACATTATATCTACGATTTGTTAGGAATATGATGTTGATGCACATGCTGTAGTAGCCTAGGCCCTGATCTTTTATTCTACTTCCGTAGGTAGCTCAGTCCATACCAGTATGAGTCTTGCTGGTCCACCTACTATTTACCTATTGACTATTATATCTTTGTGTTGTATACAGGTGACATGTCAGCAGCAGTGCCAAATGTTACACTGAAAATTGATCCTCAGGATCTTCAGATCCAAACATTTACAGTGGAGAAGTTGTTGGAACCATTGATAATTCAGGTATTTTAGTATGGCAAAATATTCTGGATATTCATGAGAAAGATGAGGGAAGAATTTACTTTACTCCTGCCTAATGATGGAAAACTGTATTGAATCTTCTGCACTGCTAAATACCCAAAACTAACTCAGGGATAGTGCAATTCATTTAGCTTCCTCTATTCTCAGAAATGCAGCACACTTTATTGTACCTAATGTAATCTGTTCCATTTAGACCCCTATACAATGTTACCCAGTGAATGTGTAAATGTAGAAATAGTCTCAGTAGATGTCACATGGAAGGAAGGAACTGAGTCTGCTGCAGTTGATGGACAGAGTGGAAAGGAATGGTCTTGATACCTATAGATAAGTCTAGTTATCTGAACTTTTAAGGGTTAAATTCTATACCATAGATCAGTTAATCTAACAGATCGACTCTCCCTATTATCATTGCCATTTAATTGTTGTATACTGTACAATCATTATTTTAAATTGCTGCTGTTGACCAAAAAATCCCAGGAACTTGGAACAAATGATTAAACATGTCAGCAAATGTATAAATTGAGCATGTTAAGGGAAAGCAGAGTTGCACTACAAAATCTAGGGTTATTTCAAAAGTGTTCACCATGTAAGTATGTAGCACTTAAAGAGAATTTTTACCATACGCAGCTGAGTTTACACACACACAACCCTTCTTTTTCTATTTTTCACCTTGTTTTTGGGAAAAAAATCCTATACAGATTTGCCATAGAATGATGCATCTTCTATGTCATTGTATTTTTAAAAAAGCGTACTTCTATTATAACACCCTATTATAAGAGGTGCTTTTAATAAGGCTAGGAATGGGGAGTGCATCCTCTTCTCTTAATCCTAAACTATTCTTGATTTTTTTTTTTTCCTTGATACACGGATGTAGTGGCACTTCCTTCTTGTAACTAGGAAGCTTGCCCCTTTAAGGGCTAGAGGACTAGGGTCAGCCAAGCCTAGTTACTAAGGAGAGACACCTAAGCAGGGATCAGTTGATTCCCCTATAAAGAGCAGCAGTAAACTATGGGGACAGGGGTGTTCTTAGGGAGACTAGGATGGAGTACAGAGGTTGCTGGGAGTGAATAGACTCCAGAAGAGGAAACCTGGGACTTGAGGAGTTAGAATACAGGCAGGAAAGGCCTCAGAACAACTTGATGATGAGGTAAATGGGTGTATCTGATATGTTGAATATTTGTTAATTTAATTAACTAGAACCTGAGAAGGGGTCTGAATGTATAGAAGGGCTGATAGTTACTGAAGTGCCTTGAAGGGAGAAACTGAGGCTTTCAGGACTGTTCTGAGGCCATAAGAAGGCTACAAACAGTTGGCCATCTGACGCATCTAGTCAGTTACAGGTAGCATAGAGATGTCAGCACATCAGTTTTTCAAACTACAGAGCAAAATGCTTGTTATGGCCCTGTGCTGTTCATTTATTATTTTGCTCCCGCTGACTGTTAGAACAATGATCCTTCCTTAAAGCCTATTGAATTCAGTGACAGTCCCTCCCCATTGTCCTTAACAGGCAGAGATGACCTGTGGCCGCCAATAGTGAGGGCAACATCTTCTGTAGAAGTTACTAAGCATGTGCAATACAAGCCAAGCAGCAAAACAATGGAGTGTGAGGGGGAGTTCGAACGTGCATCTCTCTACCCATGTGTGGCCTCTGTCAGCAGGTTTTGGATCAGACCCTCATACACTAAAATCACTCTAATGTTGTAAAATCAAACTGTAATAATGTAAACATTGGCACTTAAAAATACCTGTGTTTGGGTTACAGCCTTTGGAGGTGCCGCTTGTCTTCAAAGGCAGTTGAGGTTACGTAGCACTTTAGAGGACCAAATCTTTGTTCCTGGAAGTAACAATGTCCTAATGTTAATTGAAATAGAAACAAGGTGTTTGTTTATTGGTGCAGATACCATGAAGTGACACCAGTTGTGGTGGCAGAGGTGTGTCTGAATAAAAAGAGAGGTTATTGGGGAGTAGAAGATGGAGCCTGTGCAGAACAGAAAAAATATTTTTTTCCCCTAGATGACTCTACAATAGCTTTCTTTGGCTAGTGTTATCAGATTTTCCCAACACTCTGGGAGGAGGGGGGGGGGGGGGAGGAATGCTCATTTATTAGGGTTACTCTTATGGGACTGGGGGGAGGTTAACAATTTTATCAGTGTGCTGCATGTGCTTACTTGTGCTCTCATATGGAGCTGAATTCTCTTCGCTGCCAATTCCCCCTCCAACTAGAGCTCTCCTGCAGGAATTAGGTTGACCTAGTTCCTTTGGACTCAGTGGGTTGGATTGAACAGCACTTTAAGCTGCCATCCTCCTAAGCCCCCAGGTTCAGCACCTCCCTATTCCTACTCTCTCACCGCAATCATTCACTGGTGAACCACACAATGAACAAACCCCACAGGATTTTGGGCACTACAGGGATTTTTAGCTTGGGTACAAGAAGTGTTGTTGCAAAGCGAATGGGGTAGTCAAAACAACACCCCTTGAGGAAGAGTGAGCAAAAGAGAGAAGCAACCAGCTCAACAATGAAAGTTATTTATTTCTGGGTTGTGTGTGTGTATAAATATAGAGCCAAACACACAAAACAGTACCAATATTAAATCTAAATTGAAACTGATTACAAATTTTAGGGCTAGCAACCCATATAACAGTTTAGAAAGAGAAAAGGAGTTTTTATAGGGATTGGACAATAGTTTGAGGACACTGGATTTGTTTATGGGTAAACAGAGGCAAGACAGTAGAGACCGATCGTACCTGGTTATGGGTGATGTTCCTTGAAGGAACTCACAATGCAACTAGGCAGTTTCAGTATTTTGGATGTCAATAGGATCTACTGCTAGAATTGGTCTGATAATGACTAATTTGGGTGTGAGCAGACCTGGGCTCATTAGCATCAGGAGCAGAGATTTCCCATCAGGCAGTACTTCTCTGCTTTCGGTATCTCATAGGTCAGTGCCGTTCCTGCTTTGGATGAGCTGTTCTCCATTGTGTATGCTAATGGAGATGTCTCTCTGTTCTATCTTCAATGCAGATGAGGTTAGGGTGTTTCCTTAATTCTGTCACCCTTGTCTGAAGCAGTTTGGGTGTGTCTTCCCTGGCCTTTTCATTGCTTTGTCTTTGATTCTAGCAGAGGCCTGGGGGAGGGGAATGGTTTTCCATGTGTCTCACTCCCTGGCTCCCCAAGAGCGCAGGGCTGGTAGGTAACGCTAGTTTCCCTAAAAGTAATATCCTATGGTCAATGTAGAGTATGAGCCCAATACTCTGCCAGGCTAGTTCCAATAACACTAGCTTGTTCTTATGGGTGAAGATACCATAATGAATGAATAAATAAAACAAAAATTCTAAGATTTGATTCTGTTCGAAGTTAATGTCTTCTGTTTGAAGTTAATGTCTGATTCCAGCTCTACATTAATCTTAAAAGAAAGTTATGAAAAACCATCTATTTCATGATAGCAAATATGTATTGTTAATCTCTCTCTCTCTATTCCTTAGTATAGTTTTCATTGTTTTGTTATATTTACTGAAGTATTGAGTGTCACATGAATTACTGGGAATGTTCCAGATTACTTATTACTTTTACATATAATCTGTGCAGTAATTGATAGTGATTTACATCACAGATTAATTCATAAATCTTTAGCCTGTTCTTTTAATAGTTTCCTCTCTTTTATTCAAGCCTTGATTTATTTTCAAACTAAAACTTCCCTCCAGCATGTAGGTAAATCTGCAAGTAATTGTGCATGGATGCTCCGGCATGATACATTTAAGTCTTCCAGTTCCATTTACTCTGTGTGATAGATGCAACAATGCAAGTTATCTACAATAAATTCCTTTGCTGGGGAAAAGATTCTCTAATCCATTAATTGCATTTTTATTATTGTAACTACCTACATATGCACTTACTTGCTTTACAAAGTCTTCACTTGGCAATAGTTGATACGTGACCCCATAAGCCCCTCCATGCACCCTTCCTTACTGCTTTGGCTTGTCTCGAGCATGCTCAGTAAAACAGCTGGCACTGGCTAACTTCACTCTGCCTTACCCCCATTTCTGCCTGGCAATGTAATGGGAAAAACACCCTTTGCTTTATGCATGGTTGCATTTTTCTTTGTCTTTGTTGTTTTCATTGTAGAATCTATAAAAGGTGGGCCACACTGCTAGATCCAGTCTGTGAAGGCTGTCCAATGCACATCATCTCTGTACTTTGGAGGCAAAATCTCAGTCAACAAGTGTTGTATTTTTTGCCTAATTCACAAGCACTATAAAGTCTGATGGTACTGTCAGATTTAATAGGCTGATAACCTACAGGAAATACTTTATATAGGCTTTTTAGGTTGCAGAGGTGGCTGGTTCATAAAGCTAGGATGCAATCTCAGTGACATGCCATTTGTGAACTACCCAAACAGACTTCATAATTAACTTTTGTTGAATAATATACATAGCACCAAAGGCAACATTAATCTCAGGTAGTTGCTAACCTAAATGGTCAGTGCTCACACTGAACCAGTATTTCACTCTCATTATTTTGCTTATAGGCATAAGGACTCTGGGTGTTCAATCAACTTAAAATGTTGGAACTCGGAGGTTTGGAAAGGATTTTTGTCAGTTTCTTCCTTTTTATATTGCAGTCTTTCTTTAAGAGATCCCATCAACGTGTAAATTGTCTTCATCTGAAAACATTGTACCTTTTATTTCAAGATTTGTTGTATTTATGATTAATGGAAAACACTTCTTTCAATTCATTCATTGTGTTCATTTGACAACATTAGGACTATGTCTAGACTGCAGTGTTAAATCAGAAAAAGATACACAATTTGCTGTACACATATTTGTACTTTTGAAAGGGGTTTTTCCAAAATTTGGCGCATCTATATGGTGCCAAATTTTGGAAAAAAAGAGCTATTTTGACACATCCCTTATGCCTCATAAAACAAGGTTTACATGGATGGCAAAAGAGCACTTCTGCTTTTTCGAATGCAGTCTAGATATAG